AAGAGATCACTGGTATCAGTAAAGAAAATAGTGTCGGGGCAGTGGTGGAAGCAGAAGCTAGATTCGTGGAAAGGTTCACAAACAAATACAGGGCAGGGAAGTCAAGTCAGTGAATGCCACCCATTCATTCAAAATAATAGGCTATGAAATGAAGTAGAAAAGAACTCTATACTATATAGCATTTCTATATTTGCATTTAAAAGGGAACTAGGATCTTGAGCTTTTAAGATGAGAAAACTTGAACATCTTTGAAAATGTAAGGGAAATCACATCCATGCAAAGGAAGACTGCAGGATAAGGAGAGGTGCGTTTATTAGTAAGCAATATCCCGGAAGAAGGGATGGAGTCAATGACTCAATCTCCAAGACCAAAGCGGGGGGGGGGGGGGGGGGGGCGGATGGGATGGAGGAAAACAGAGGTCAATTTGCAGGCAGTAGAGAAGGAAGTTAAGCCGGTTACCTTCCCTCAATTTCCTTTTCAGATTACAAAGCAAAATATTCCAATGACTGGAAAGTCTGAGTCAGTGGGACAGGAATGAAGAAAATCTATAGTTTTGAAAGAGTAGTGGGAAATGGAGGGGGTAAAGAAATACAGAAATCTGATTGCTTAGTCAAATTTCACTTCCATCTTAAAGTCTTCTCTGCCCCTTCCCCTGGAAGTAAACAATATTAATAACATATGTATATATCAACTATGAATAGGTTTGTTTTTTTTTTTCTAAAACGCCTTAAATGGCACTTGTCATTTTCTGCTATGTAGTTACTTCATCTCTTCATGTGAGTCTTTCAAGAAGTAATTTTTAACTCTTTTAAAAAAAGAACCCTGTTTCTTTGTATCGCTGAAAGCATCTGCCAGAGTGGGTAACACATTAACACAGTGTTTCAGCAACAATCCCTGCACAACAAACCAAACTAAACTTAGTGGAATAAAATAGTTTTTTCCCCAAATTATTGTCTCACAGTTCTGGTGATCAACGAGGAGGTTCTCACTTGGGGGTCAGCCTCTTCAGTTGTTGCAGTCAGGAAGCCTCTGCAGGCTGTCTCCCTCATCTCTCTGGAGCTTGCTGTTGGCTACTAGCTGGGACCTAACCGGGGCTGTTGGCCAGAATACACATGCGTGGCTCCTCCATGTGGCCTGGGCTTCCGCAGGGCCTGGTGGCTGGGCTCCAACAGCGAGCGTCCTGAGAAAAAGAGTCAGGCAGATGCTAGACCACCTTTTATGATCTGGCTTTGTAAGTCACGCAGTATTGTTCTACCACATTCTATTTATTAGAGTTAGGTCACTAGGGCCAGGCCATATTCAGGGGAGGGGCATTTAGGCTCCACCTCTTGATGAGAGGAGTGTCCAAGAATTTGCAGATACTACATACAGTAAGTGCTAATTAGATGCCTGTTTAATCATTAAACATTTTGGAAAAGGCTCAGAAGAAAAAAAAAATGAGAGTGGTGCAGTCTTAAAAGGTCTGACTAGAAGTCAATAATAACGCTGAGAAGTCAATTAAACCCATAAAATATGCTACCCATGGCTGTTTTACAAGTGTTTGCTATCTTTTACAGTCTCCTTTTAGGATAAAGTTGGGTTGTTTAGTCTAGAAGATAAAGTAGATCAGTGTTTCTCCTACTTTCACGTGCATGAGAACTTCCTTGGGGACCTTGTTAAAATGCATATTCTGGTTCAGTGGGTCTGAGGTGGGGCCTGCCGCGAGCCATGGACCACGCACGAATAGCAAGCTAGCCGGAGGCAGTAGTAGGGGTGACTACCCGGCTCCTGTGCTCGCTCCATTCTCTAGGAGAGGCCCTAACAGCTGGGGGTATGCCACCACACATCCTGATGTGCTTACAGGACCCTGACCTTCCGGCCAAGTGGACCCTTGATGCCTGCAAGATTAGTCTGTTCTTCCACAAGCCTTTTAGAAGAGAAATAATGGAAGAGTCATATTCCTCTCTCTTGTGGTGAAGCACAGGACATAGGCTCTGGTGTTACCACACATATGAGACAGCCAGTCTCCGGGAGGGATGAAGAAATGCAGAGAAGAATATCCAGGTGCCATTCCAGTCCCTGGTGAGGCTCAGGACAGATCTCCATCAAACTCCCTTCTCGGTCTAAATTTGTTCTAGTTGGGTTTCTATCATTTGAAACTTAAAAGTCCTAACTAAAATGGGGTGTGAGGAGAAGAGGATGTCTCCTGGAAATGCAGTACCCACTGGGATGGGGGGACATCAGAAAACTTCGGACTGGATTATTATCCACACATCAGGGGCCTGGGGTGAGGACAGACTGTCCATTCAGTCATGCTAAAGGCGTATTTCTAACGAAGTGGGTAGACCACAGAGGGAGTTAAACACATCAACCTCTAAGGCTCTGGGAAGAGAAGGGAATAGGAGAGTCTGGGAGCACCATGGCTCATGTTCTTTAGAGTGACCCCTGGGCCTGAGTGGAGGTTAAAAAAAAGGGCTAGGTAGAGTCCTGGCCAGCAAAGAACAAAGGGGTGAAATGTTCCTGTTAGGCACTGTATGAAGTGCTCTTCCTTGATGACCTGAGTTAATGTCCCCAGGAAAGTGTCCTACGTCGCTCTGCTGGCTGTCCCTGAAACCCGAGGATGGTCAGTGGCTGGCACTTCCACAGTCGGAAAAGGTCAGATTGCATGAACACGAGCCCCATCACATAAGCCTCAGGCGACAGGCCCTACGACTGGCTACTTCACAGGCAGATCTGGAAGTCCCCTGAGGTCTCTGAGGCTGCAAGCAGCCCACAAGAGACAGTAAGCTCCTTTTTATGACAGTTTCCACCTTGCTATGTTTGAACTAAGTGAATTTTTAATAACCAGTGTCTTGGTCACACCTTCAACTACATCAATCCCATATTCAAGGGTCTATGCAGTTGAAATAAACCGAACATTTCATAGCACATTTCCAAAACAGAAACATTTTTGCACTGAGAAAAAAAAGACTGGGTACCACCTCAGTGTATCGTCCATGAATGGAAAGACTTTCGTATTTACTAGGCAAGGACATGCGCAGATGGGACAGGCAGCAACAGAACGGCGATCCCGGAGAACACTTCCTTTGTGGGAAATGCCCTTGGGTAAAAGATGCGACAATGAAGTAATGAGGCTGATTTCAGAGAGCCAAAATGGATGCTGATCTCATTATTTTGTAGCCATACCTTGTGGTATGTTTATAAAATATTTCTTTCTCAAGTTAAAACAGAAACTGCTACAGATGGATTTAAATTTTGGTAAAATCAATGGGAAGAGTTGTATGTTAATGCAACATTTGTTGTAAAGATTCCAGAAACATACGAGTCAAAATTTCAAATTATGATTCCCACAGTAACTGTAACTCTGCTATACAACCTACATAATGGAAGAAATGTTATCAACATATACCATAGTAGAAAATACTCAGTAAGCAGAAACAAGCTGAGTTATGCTTGTTGTGGGAATCATCATTTTCAACTAGCTGAGGATATAAAAAAATTGAAACCAGAAATGCATGCATTATTTTATGTATTTAATTCCAATTTTTCTTGATCAATTTAATCAGCTTTGCATCCAAACTACATTTCCCTTTCATAAACTGCAAATGAATGCCTTTCATAATTTTAAAATCCACATCATTTGGTTTCTTTTTCTCCTGCAGGCTGCCTGTGCCAAATGGCATCATTATATCCTGTCCCTCCCCTAAAAGGTCAGGCCATGTGTGCCGGGACCCATTTATCTATATTCCTTGTCTCCCCAAAGGACACCAAGGCGGGAGGGGGAGAAAAAGAACACCAAAGAGAACAAGAAGCACGTTAAGTAGCTTACAGGTAAGTAAGTGCAGCAGAACAAGGGACAGTGGGATCATTAACTTCCCTGTTGGTATCTTCCTAAGCCAAAATAAGGAAAATAGCACCACCATATATTAACAATTTCCAAAGTGTTTAGTCATAACATTATCTCATCTGATCCTCACAACAACACTGTGAGAAAAGCAAGAAGAAAACCCCTTTCCATTGTTCAGCTCTTTGTGGCTCCAGAATATATTTAAGGATGCGCTTTTCTGGTATAATTTGAAGTCTGGACTATTTAATTGCACTTACAATATTACCCACTTACCACATGCAGCGGATTTACTTATTATTGAAAGCAGAATATACTTTATGTAAAAACATTATGGTTACGAGCTGAACATTTAACATAGATTAAGCTTTCTGCTTTAACTATATTCTGAAAATTCAATAATGAAACAGAAAGAGAAATAACTGCCCTTTGAAACTCTGCCTGGGCAAAATTAATCCTGTATATAATATCCAGTATTACTTTTCCCAGTTTGGTTTTAACTAAGAAGGGCACCTTCTACAGCCTCTGGAGAGGAAGCCTTATACTTTCCAGCAGTCTTTACCATCAGGGTGTATTTAATTATATTCAAACTAAATTACTTTGGCTCAAGATCAATCATATTTCCTTTTGACGCTAAGTAGCTCCGCCTCACCCTAGTGTTCATGACCTTGTGTAAGTGTTTGCAGGGTGCTCTGGTCAACCTTTTCTGTCTCTTAGTGCTACTATGATCTGGCTAGTCAAGAGTAAGTTTGTTTTCCCCTCTATGTACAAAAGAATCCCTCTCCATTTATTCAGATAAAATATCTGAATTCATCGAGTACACCAATAAAAAGATCAATTCAAATGAAGATTCAGAGCCGGCAAAAGCCTTAATATCATTTGTTCTAACCTGAGAGTTAACAGTTAATCCTCTGCCCGTGAAGTGTACGACCATTTTGCATGTAATTAAAGGGCAATATTTTAAGTGTTAAAAGGAAAACAAATCCTAAGGAATATTAATTTTATGAGGTTTTATTGTGGAGGATGAGTTGTCTTCTTAATGTTACCTATAATTATAAATCAGCTCTTTGTAATGAATAAAGATTAACACATAAATTCTTGGGGGAAAAAAAACAGATAAAATACAAAAAGGTATCCTGTGGGACATGAACACTCAACTTTCATGGTTTTTCCCCCCTTATATGCAAAACAACAACAACAACAAAAAAAACAGTATCTGGGGCTGATGCCAAAACACAATCTCAATACTATTGCCAGTTATGAGAAAGATAGGCAGATGGCTGATGAGCTAAAAGAAATCAGCGATGAAGTTCATGTGAATTCTTAAATCTTCTTGGAGAGCAAAAAGGTCTTTTCTGCCTTAAGTGATGCATCAGTCAAACAAAAAGGCAGGGTTCTACGTGTGACCTTTCCAGACAGTCATCCACTCTCATCCACTCTATGGGATTATCTCAGGAAAAGTACAGACCCAGCCAGTGACAAGGTTCACCTTAAACAGAATGAAATGTCTCTTTCAATATGGAAATTGAAGAGGAAGTAATCAATTCTTGAGGATCACAGAATGCTTAGAAATGTAAAATGATGGGGTCTGTTTCTCTTGAGCAGTCAATAATATGAAATTCTCAAAGGTCTTATATTTTCCAGGCAAACTGACAGCAAATAAGGTCCCAAAGACTATCAGTACCATAAGTTAAGGAACTCATTTTTTTATATTTACTTATAATTAAAGCTGCAGAATTCCATGAATGGCTGACAGTAGAATACTAACCCACTGAAGAATCAACCAAAGGAAGATTCTGAGAACAAGGTAAGTAGGTCCAACAACAGAAGAGTGTTAAATAACTTACTGTACATTCATAAAATGGATACTGTGCAACCATTCACAGTGTGTTCTGAAAAATGTCCAAGGAGAGGGAAAGGGTTGATAACATATTGTAAAATGAAAAGTTACAGAGTGAAATATTCTATACGATCTCTATTTAGGAAAAAAATATGTACATTGAAAAAAAAGACTAGGAGGACACACACAAAATTCCTGACAAGAAATCACCTCTGCTAGTGAGAATTTAAATGTCTTCACATTTTTTTCTTTTCCGAATGAAAAGGGGGTAAGATTAGGGGAAATTTTTATTTTCAAAAATAGCCATTAAATATACTCTGATCTTTGTCCAATCTTTTTAATAACATGCACAACAAAAAACAAGTATAGTTAGTGCCACTTAGCATTTGCATTAACAGTTATTTATCTTTAAGTTATAAAATCAATAGTTCATTCAAATTTAGTTTCCCTATACTTTTTGCCCAATTCACACAAGAACAATGTATTTTTTAAAATGTATAATGACATAAAATTTTATCCAAGGTTGCAGTCTTCCATGCCATCTTCTTCACACATCATGTCTAGAAAATGAACTTCATATGCTTGATTCCATAAGTTTTGAAGAAAACCATTATAATGAGTGCCCACAATCCCAGAATAAAACCCCCAGGAGGATGCCAATCTTTCAGCTTTGGTTTCTGCAAAACAAAGAGGACACGGTAAACTTAACAATAATGGGTCAAACAAATACTGATGGGAAACAGAAATTTCACAGGCTGTCTTTGAAGGGGAAGTAATTTAGCCAAATTAAGTGTATTAGGACAGCAACAACAACAAAAGCTTCTAACTGGGTAAATATTTCAATGTGGTTCTTACAGAGGTCAGTTTCAGACGCCATTTTGTTTCTTCAAAGAGGCTTCCTTGACTACCCAGCCAAACAGCTCTCTTCACCCAAGCTCTTCAGTAGCCTACTAGTCCTTCTCACTTTGAATTTATATATTCATTAGTTTGTTGGTTTTGTCTGTCTCTCCCACTAGACTATAACTCTACGAGGGTCACCTTGCTTGTACTCCCAGCACCCCCCTGTCACGGTGCCTGGCACACAGGAGACATACGTATATTATACTGATTAAGTCACTGGAAAAACAAATGCTATCCAATTCCATTTGTTCTGATATTCAACAAATACTTGTTTGGGGGCCCATACCTTTGGTCATGGTAAGCCCTTGAGACAGAATGTTCCTTACTCCATTCTGAACCCTATTTGAAATTCACCAACTAAAATGCCAACTCCTTCAGATTTTCCCACCTGCTATATTCTTTTCTTTGAATGTGTAGCTCCTTCTACTCTTACTTCTATCGAGTAACATAATTATCTTTATTGGTTATCTCCCTGCAAAATTCCAGGGGGAAATGTCTGGCTGTATTCATTTTATATCCCTTTGTCCATTCCCTACCCCTCAAAACCCAGCCAAGTGTCCTGTATATTTCTTTGTCCAGCAAGGAAAGGCAGATCAGTCTTCTCCCTTTAGTTGTCATTGCAACAGCTACGTTATGTCCCTGAAATTGGAGGTCTGTAACTATGATCTTTTTATGAGGTTTACTTCCTAAACTACTGGCCAAGATTGTAAGGATAGTTATGATATGAGAATCATATTTTTTTTAAGATTTATTTATTTGAGAGAGAGAGAACATGTGCGTGATGGGGGGGGGCGGGGCAGAGGGAAAGAGAGAAACCCAAACAGACTCCATGGCGCTATACGTGGAGCCCAAGACAGGGCTCGATCCCACAACCCAAGATCATGAACCGAGCTGAACCCAAGAGTCGGTCGCCTAACTGACTGCACCACCTAGAGGCCCCTAGAATCATATTTTAGAGTAGAATTGAGTAAAGAGAACTGTCATCTAAAATTTTCTTTAGTCACCATGTAAACTAGCCAAGGAAGGTTCATAAATCTCTTAGAGTTATCTGCACCTTATAGTTTGGTTTCCCATATATAGGACACCTAATGTTCTTTAGTCAATCCTAAGCTCATCACATTACAAGAAGAAAGGAGGCAGGCAGGGAGGAAGGGAGGGAGAGAAGGAAGGAAAGAAGGAAGGCAGGTAGGCAGGCAGGCAAGCTTAAATATAAAACACATCAAGTCAAATCAACCAGAATTCGTCAGTAAGGGCCATGCTAGTATAGTTGCTTAATGTAGACAACATTATAAACCCACTAAAAGAATTCAAAAGAACATTTTGATACAACAAAACTCTATTTTTCTTTTAATTTTATAAATGGAGAAGTTATCTATGGAAATGCCTGGTTTTCAACTAGGTGATCTTTCTGCAACTTCTTCCTTCTCTTCTGAAATTCTCCTCTCTTGGCTTCAGTGATACTCTCCCCAGGTTTTTCCCCTACTTCCCTAACCATTCTTTTTCAGTCTTCTTTGCCCCTGAAATGCTCGTGTTGTCTAGAGCTCTGCCCTCAGCCATTTATTCTCTCCCGTTATATAAATAATCTCTCTGGGTAACACCTGTACCCTGGTTTTGACCTCTGTCAGCAAGCTTATGATTCCCAAATTTATATCACTAACATGGAACTCTACGCTAAACCCTAGGTTTACGTACAATTAACAGACATCTCTACTTGGATATTCTAAAGGATCACAAACTTTACTATAGCCAAGAGCAAATTCATTCCTGAGTCCTCCACCCAATTCTGTTTTCTTCCCTGTTTTCCATCACTCCATCCATACGGGGGGCATCACCATGTTGCCAAAGTGATAAAACTGGAAGTCATTCTTAGCTCCCCTCTTAGCTCCTCTCAGACCTTCCCATTTCCATGAGTTCCTAATTCTTACAGGTTTTCTCGCTATCATGTCTGTCCTTTCTAAGTTTTCTATTGCCACTGCCACTGCCTTGGTTCTAGCTCTTATCATTTCTTGTCAGGATCACTGAAATAGTGTCCTAACTAGCTTCTCTTCCTCCAAGATGCCCTCTCTTTTCCATCTATCAATCATATTGCTGCTAGACACATTTTCTTAAAATACAAATATATATTTATAAAATATGTATACATATTTGTATAATAATAAAAGCCTCATATGTATGCAATAGGTATTGTTTGTTTTAAGCACACATTACTTTTGTAATTTAAAAAAATTAAATAAATAATTTAAAAACGAGGGCTCAGTGTGGTGTGGTTCAAAGAGCATGGGATTTAGAAACAACTGCTTTGGGTTCAAAGTTTAGTTTTAACACTTAAAGCCCATGTTACCTGTGAAGCCACTTCACCACTCTGAATTTCTGAATCTGTAAAATGGGCATAGTAACACAGACCTCCTGGGAATGAATGAATGCACAATTACAACAATGATGTGTTTTCTGAGAATGCAGTCAGTCTATAACTACCTGTTCCCACCTAGAAAAGTGATGATTTGAAACTCAGAGTACTTTTTATTTTTATTTTATTTTATTTTTTTTAGATTTTTTATTTATTTATCTGAGAGAGAGAATGGGAGACAGAGAGCATGAGAGGGGGAGGATCAGAGGGAGAAGCAGACTCCCTGCCGAGCAGGGAGCCCGATGCGGGACTCGATCCCGGGGCTCCAGGATCATGACCTGAGCCGAAGGCAGTTGCTTAACCAACTGAGCCACCCAGGCGCCCTTCAGAGTACTTTTTAGATAACTTTCTTTTGTGTTTGTTAGTTATGAGGAACAATGTTTGAAACAATCTGATTTTTGTATACATTTCAATTCAAAATTAACTGGTCAAACTAACAGAGAAATCAACCTTACTGTTTTCATATCACGCTGGAGTTTTAGTCAACCACATAATATAAACACAACTGACAATACTGTTTACAGTGGTTACGTGCTACCCTAACTCTTAAGTCTATTCTCACCCCCTCCCACTACTTCCAGAAAACTCCCCAAACACCAAAAATATTGTAATCCAATTCTTCCTCATGTTACTTTCTATTCAAAACTCTGCGATGGCTCTGATCATATGTGAAATGATGATGACAGAGGTTCTTTCCCTCTAGTCTCTTATAAGATGGTAAGTCCAGTGGCATTTCAGATGGAAGAGCTTTTGTGAAACACTATGAAAAATCTTAATTTAATTCCAGTAGAAAATCTAGATTAATATAAAGCATAGTTATATTAAGGACAGGGAAGGTAGATATCACAAGCATGTGACAATGAAAAACAAGTGAGTGAATTAAACGTGATTTACTACTGCTTGTTTTTTGTCATGTTTATTTTCTATTATTCAAACAATTTGTAATCCATGCCAAAGGGTTGAAAAAGCTAAACCAAAAATTCTTTTTCCATAAATGGGGAAAAGGTTGTCATTATTAGTTATTAGAGGAAGCACACCTTTATACAATAGTTTGCAGATGTACCCTGAAAATTCAGTTTAAGAGTACTGACCTAATTGGGGCAACAAGATTCACATTTTCCCCAATAACTAGGAGTCTCGGATTTAGATGGTATTTGAAAACACACACACACCACACAGGTTCATGCTTTAAAAAATTTAAATAAATATTATCAAAATCTGGCATTAAACTCTTACCTATAGAAGGACAGGCTATAATATACAATACAGACGATTATTCCATAAACCAATTTAATGAATTTCAGTGCTAAAAGAGTTCAGGTGATGTGAACTTTCAAGAGTTTAAAAATACTGTAACTTTCAGATAGTATTTAAACCAACTCATGCTTTAAAAAAAAAAAAGGTGAACATCATTTAAGCTCTGTGATTCATTAGAGATTACTGAAATAATAATCAAGTAGTTAATAGCAATCTTAGTTCTGCAGCTGTAGAAACTCCAGTTACTTTCCAATGAGATGGATTCCCTGAGGTCAGAGTTGTACCATTAGATCTTAAACTTAGCCAGAAATAGTTGCCAGGAAGAAGACAACGAAAGCTTCTTTGGAAGTCACTATCATTTCTCCCAAGACTGGTCCTGGCAGCTATTTTGATCTATTATTCCAAAGACTGGCTCAGAGAATTCTGGAGGCATTGCTTCCTGGCTCCTTCAATAAGATGTGTCCCATATTTAGACCACTGATGCCCAGGAGAGGACCAGAGAGAAGAGCAAAGTGCTAGAGCTTTGAATGTAATAATGGAGGACTAAGAAATGTATGTAATCACTCCAAAATTATAATGGAATTTTGTATTTATTTACAATATAACATTGTACAGACTAACAAAGAGCAGCAAATCTCAGCTTTCAAAATGGCTATTTGCAGTTGCTATATTTTTTATTGTATTACATATTTTTGATTAAAAGAAAATGGCAAATGAATTATTAATTAAATACAACTTGGACTCTTAGCTTAGCATGGCATCTACGTAGAATCTTCCAGTGCAGCCTTTCCCATCTTCTGAGGAAAATACATATGAAGACACAGAAAGACAAGAGCACATCGTACTAGAATGAATTTAACCTCTGATGAGAAACCTCAGATAATTTCACTATCTGAAAGTCCTAGAAACCAGGTCTACAAACAAATTAATAGTGGCCTGCTTTTCTGAAAAAGGATTGCTTTGCACTGGGAAACACAATAATTCTGTCAACTGAGAAAGGGACTTCTGCTCTCTCCTTTTTCCTGCCTGCTATTCAAGAGATTGTGTTTCAGAGTAGAAGCGTGGCTTGACGAGGCAGCCAAAAGTAGTGTAACTCATTCCTATCCCCCCAAT